ATAGTATTCTTTTTATATATCAGTTCCTTAACTCATGTTCTGTGGTTGCTATTTATGTTGCTCCCAGTTATGAGCATGGTTATGAAAAATATAATAGTGAATATTCTACTTTAAGACTATCTTGCGAAATTTTTCTGGCCTTATCGGGTAGTAACCAGCTTTGTTGACTCTCTTTCCTGCTAGATGATTATTAATTTCTCTCGAAAGGATATTCATTATATTTATTGTAATCCCTCCTGCCCTGCAGATTGCCAGTAGAATCAGAATAGATTTTGTTAAATCAAATGAAGGAATGAATGGATATTCATATAATTGGGTACATGTGTCACAGCACATGTCTTTATTTTTCCCTCAACTTCTCATAAGCTAATCTGCTAATATCATTTGGCCATTGTTCAAGTCCATACTGTGTCCTAATTTCTCTTTACAGATCCCATTATTGATAACAGTATTTAACTTTTTCATTTAAAATGTGGCCAAATTACTGATATCCCAGAGGTTTTGATGGCCCCTTAAATCAATTTTAAGAAATGCAGAACTGGAAAAGATGAATATAAGTATATGGTGTGTTTTGCCCTGCAGAAATGATTTACTAAGGCCCAAATCATCAATTATAAGGGAAAACCTCATAGCATGTGTGTTTCATGCTCTTTACAACTGTTACCTATTATGAGTTCTCAGGAGTGCCATTTGCTGCTACAACTCACTGTTCCCATAAGTTGAAGTCACCAACATGACTGCTGAATTGTCTTAAATCAGAGGGGAAAAGAGGAAAACCAATGTGAATGGTTGAGATGCTGCTTCCGTTTTCATTAGATTCCACGGTTCGCCCTGTTTACATGCTCAAGATGCTAGAACAGCCTGCTAAGTATTGTGGTGGATTACAGCATAATGGCTTACCTACCTGACTCTCCCAGGGAACTGACACACTGCCAAAGCCTTTCTTAAAGAACTTCAGTTGGGCCTATTGGCTCACACATTGCATTGTAATGTGTATAAGGTCAGTAAAAGCCAAGCAACTTCTGTTGGTATCAGAAATCTGCAAGGGCTTAAGTTAATTTTTATTTCTTCTTCTTATGGGGCTAGAAGCACTTAGTATTGTTATCTAATATGTTGCCACTCTATATTGTCTAAAAAACACAAAGAGAGTAATACACAATTGCAGCATTGAAAATAAGCTACTGATTGGGTGCATACACATCAGCCCTCTTTATTTCTCCTAAAGGTTTTCATTGGATGCCAACACAGCTTGCTTTGGGAAGAATAATGGTGACTGAACAAATGACATAGCGAGAAACCTGACCTCTAGTTGATTTCAATTGTGCTGTTAGTGAACTGTGCATCTTTCCCTCCCAGCATGCTTGTTCATAAATTTCAGTTAATGGATGATTAGTCATACATGAGCACCCTATATGCCATTGACTGGATCTTTACTTTCCACCTAAATGCAGGTTGTAATTATAAATGCTAAAACCATGGGGAATTCTTTGAGAGGTGCCCTGCCCTCACAAAAGGGATTAGTGTTCTCTAATGAAAAGGATACTGGAGCCCTCTCTTGTCTTCTCTATCACGTGAAGTCATAGGCTTCTGGAAACTAGGAGGCAGGCTGTCACCAGACATCAATGTTGTCACTTTGATCCTAGGTTTTATTCTTCAGGGTGTTGAGAAATAAATCTCTGTTGTATGTTAGTAAACCAGCATGTGATATCCTGGTTCAGCATCCTTAAGCAAACCAAGAAAATCCAGTGCTTATTTGCCCCAAAACTGACAAGAACTTTTTCCAGCAAAAAAAATAATGAGACAAGGTTGAACCCTGGAAATATGATTCTCTGAGCTATTCTCATCCCACTATAACAGACTGCTTATCATGAAAATGCATTCTCTATACAACAGAATTGTTTTATTAAAGAGATCCTTGTCATGCCTTTTCTCTGGTGCTAAACCACCACAGGGTTCTTTTTATTTCCAGTGTCTTTCCTTTCTCTCTTCTTTATTTCTTCTCTTTCTTCTTCTAGATAGGATTTCCCAGTAGTTTGGGCTGACCTTGAACTCCCTACACAGCTGAGGATGATAGGAAACTTCTAATCTTCTGATATCCATCTCCCAGGTTTATGTGGTGCCATAAAGTTCAGGGTTTCAGTCCTTCTGGGCAATCATTCTATCACTTAAGCTCCATCTCCAGTCTGGGTCTTTTCTTCTTAAAGTGGTGATTTGCAATTGCTCTTTTCTGGAACATTTATCAAATATCTTTTCACTACAACCTCCTCTTTCTGCCTTATTGGAGAAAGCATATCTGAATCAATGCCATTCCAAATATTATGATTTTTATACCTGGCATTATGCTCACATGGTAGAGTTTAGCAGTATGTAATGGAAATCATATGACCCTACCCTGCCATGGCAAAACAGTAAGTTTTTCTTTTCTTTTCTCTTTTTTCTTTTCTTTCACATGGCCAGACACAATGGAGAAGCCAAAGGAGGCACATGTAGTTGCTTAAATTAACCAAGAACCCTCATTTTTCTACTTGACATTCACCATACTTACTGTGTTCCTTCCATACTCAAGGTGGCTTTCTCACTTCAGATATTGCATCTGTGAGCAAAACAGGAAGAAAAGTGTAAGGGACAAAACTTACAAGCAATTTACAAGGTGACATTGTCCCCTTTGATCAGATTTCCAGTAAGACCCTTCTGCTAGCCTCTTTATATCACTGACTACATTATTTTTTCATGGCTTTGCCTACTTACAGGAGTATCAGTGAAGCTGAGTATTTTATCCTGGGAAAATTCCTGCTCCTGTCCCAAACCAGGTCTCTGACAGCTAGAAGATATGAAAGGCTGATTGTACAGGCAACCAGCAGTTTTTGTACCATGTATAATATCGTAAATAAAACATGTTTCTTTCATTGGTAACTGGCAATTTTGCAGTATACTCCATTACTGGGAACAGCTTACCAGTGACCTGCTGACTTTATTTTTAAGAATATTTGACCTACAGGAGAAATGCAGTTCCTACCCCACCCTGATAAATACATATATGGGGGATCTTTTATAAACTCATACTTCACTACCTATAGCCCTTTGCCTCAGTCACCATAGCATCTCTTGATTTTGTAGTGCACTGACTGTTTTAAAAATAATTATTTCATGTTCCATGTTCATTTTCAGGAATATCTTTTAACCTTCTCTATCTGGTAAAACATTACTTATACTTCAAGACAGTTCAAATACCATTGCATCCTGGAAATGCCCTTCCCTTCTCAGATCTATTTTTGGTACTCTGTGCACACATCCATTAGGTCCCTTGTCATTATTTGCTTGCATATGTGTCACCACTGACAAATACTATGGCCTCTTCTAGAACAAGGTCTTTAATTTATTTGACTTTTACTACCCAGTGTCTACTGCAGTTCCTGGAATATGTTCAAGATACTTGCTTAAGGAAATGCATAGCTGAAAATTACCTCTAATGTATACATGACCTACAAAAAATTGAAACAAGCTGCCTCACTGTAGTCAGTAAAGGCTCCTTGATCTACGCCTCTTCTGTCTAGACCTCAGTGGATCAATGCCTGGTGGCAGAAATATGAAAGAGACACAGAGGGTCTTTTTGTTCTTATTCGGTGATATTAGCATAATTCAGTATTATAAAGGTTTGTTTGTATATTCTGTTGTCTGACCTTCAGCCCTGTGATCAATAGTTACTCAGTTTTATATTTCTTTGTGTGTAGTGGGAGATGTTTTGTTTTCTTAAAAAAATAACCAAAAATCTCTGCTGTTGAGTAGCAGAAAGGCCTCCCTTAATTTGGATTAATTAAAATTATACGTACAAAAATTATGTCTTTGTTAACCTTTAGATTGTTTAGTTACTCTATTTGTTCCCAGCAAATAGTGGTTGTTATTAGTGCAAGAATAGGAATAGTCAAGAATCTGGTAAGGATAAAACATGAAAAGGGAGTCAGAAAAAGTCCATCCCCAGATTTGTCTGTAAGTGAATTCTTGATGTGATGCCTTCCTTCCTCCTTTGTCTCCCAGTATATGGAGGATAGACATAAGTAGCCAGATACAGCACCTTACCCAGGCTGGGAATACAGTTTAGCAGTAAAACACTTTCCCAGCATGTGTAAGGCATTAGGTGAAGTCTGAAACACCACAAAACACAAACAAGCAACTTTGCATTCAAGACCCCAGAAATGGCCTATGACTACATCTCAGTGCTAAGGTGCTTCAGATGTCTTCTGTGAAGCTGTCTTTTGTGAAAGGCAAAGCAGCAAACTTAACCTTCCACCATCAATGCAGCATCCATAAGATCTATGCAGTCAGTGTACTTCCTGTGATGACATATTCCCTTTACCCCATTTATAGAGTGAAGGATGTCACCTTAACAGTGCATCTGCAAATGTTCCACCCTTCCTTTCAAAAATCAGATTTGGTGTTTTTCAATTATCAGTCTCATAACAACTTTCCTTGCTTTTTATCTCTGCTAGGGAATGGAAGGGTTCATCCTTCTCATAGACTGCAATCGAGTAAGGGGTGAGCAAACATAGACCAAACAGCAGGAACTATATTTGATACTTTCTATTTACACCTTTTGTTTCTCTACCCACATGAGGTCATTGTTATAAATGGCCTCATTTTACAGATGAGGAGATTCACACCAAAAGATGAAGTTGTTTGCTTAAGTTCTCAAAACTGGTAAATGGTGAAAGTAAGATTCAGTTAAGATCTTTGATACCCAGCATCTTACTAATGAACTGTGGAGAGTTAACTGGTTTAAAGTCTGCTTTTTGGCTTTTTTCATACCACAGAATACTTTGCTTTGATAACAGCCTAGAGCCTTGATGCCCCCAGTCTTTTGAATCTTGCATCTTCTGGAGGCAGATGGAAAGTATAATTCTGGGTATAATTCTATTTGGGTATAATTCTGTTCCTCTGGAGAGTGTGTTGATGGAAATGGAAAGTGTATTTAGGGTTAATTTCTTGTGCCCCCTTTCCTGCAGGCTGTCGTCCATATCAGGTGATCATGGCCAGAGTTCACCCAGGAGAGAGCAATGCCAGCTGGGTGATGAAGGGGACCTTGGAGTTTCTAGTCAGCAGTGACCCTGTGGCAAAGCTCTTGAGGGAAAACTTCGTGTTCAAGATCATCCCTATGCTCAATCCAGATGGTGTCATCAATGGCAAGTATGTCAGCGCTTAGCCTACTGGACATGTTACTACAGTAATAATCCACTGCTGTCTAATCCAAGGAGCATAAAAGGAGCAGCCTTGGCACTCCGCAGTGTCAGTGCCATCTATCTGGAACAATTAGCAATGTGTCCTCTATGCACATTTGTGTGTGTGTCTCATGGTATTTCTTTCAATGGAAATATGTGGAAAGCAAAGCATTTGGTACCACGGAGTTAACAGATAACCTTCTCCTGTGCTTTGTTCGTAAAGGAGGGCACTGGTATCCAGAGTCCAAACTCACCTGGATCACATGGTAAACCAGTGGCATTTCAAGACTCAGTGTGAGTCTTCACGTTTACCACCAATGGTTATACATTAGTGTTAGTTATAGGTGCAAAGAAATATTTATTCAGTTATGTTTTACTGGTTTCTCCATGTATTTAAGAGTTTCACTTTGTGGAAATGGAATGTTGCCTAGAAAAAAAGAGGCGTGGTTCCATTTTCACTCTGCTGCTGGACAACTTTAGGTTGTATCAGGGAATAAGACTTTTATTTGATGACATCTGTCATAAGGGCTTAGAGTATGATCTCAGGCCCAGATGAGATCCCAAGGCCACACGATCAGGGAATGATAGGAATAACTTTTACAGATACCTGTTTAGATATCTTAATATCCAATAGTAATAAGTGACTCTTTTTCCTAGAAGAATGGGGATTCTGTACTATGGATAAACAAAATGAAAGATGAACAAAAAATGCTGAGAGGAAAAGGTTATTTCAGAGACTAAAATGAAAGCCATATTTAAAATATCATAAGCAAAGAAGAAAAAATTAAATTTAGAGAATATGGAAAAGAAAGTGATCGTAACGTGGTGAAAAACAACAAACAAAAAGTCATAACGGAACACTAAAACTTGTAAATGATCAAATGGCTTAAACAGATAAGAATGATGTAAGAAAGGTAAAATGATTAATTCCTTAAAGAAAGGAAATTAACTGTTAAGTACCTCCAACAGATTGCTTTCTTTTGATAAGTATAAAGGTAGATTAATTTTAAGTGTTAAGAATTTAATGATTATATATGAAAGGAAAAGCATAAATCCAAAACATGAAATATGCCAAAGCATGTCAGTGCAAGCTAATCAAAGCCATAGACTATAATAGTACTACTTACAATAGATACAAAAGGAAAGAATGAATGAAAGAAAAAGGTACAAATGTAGAGAACATGAAAGAAAAAGAAGTGTACCAGTCTGTTCTTAGTATATTAGGTTAACACAGCTGGGTTGGTTTAGTAGTTCACAGGTGTTGTTTATTTGTTTATTTTCTTTCTTGCTTTTTCATTGATTTATTTCTTATTTACTTGGTGATGTAGTTTGATGAAGGCCTAAGAACCTTTTTCTCAGTTTTGACGGCATTGAGCATCACAAGGCCAGGTTCCTCATTAAAGACTCTTAGTCTTCTCTGGGAGCAATGAGGCCTCCAGAATCTTAGGCTGTACCAGGTTCTGGAGCAGTGTTTTTTAATGCTACCCAGAGTTCATCTGACTCTTGTCATGTTTCTCTAAGCACTGCTTGCTGCTCAAGGAGCCAAGAAGTTTTACTAGCAATCTTTCTCAGCCTAAATGGAAGGAAAATAGCTAAGGAAGATATCTTGAGGGAGGGATAAGACATTTTCTTATCCAACTCAGCTCACTTCTCTCTTTCTATGGAACTGTTTAGGGTCAGGAGGAAACTAGAGAGAGTATTGGACTAGGAATGCTAACTGAATGGGACCTCTGGCTGTCTCTGATCTACTCAGTTTTCTCTTTTGGTGGAAGAAGACAATGTACTCCTGGTAGACTTTTCTGGAAAATAAAAGTCTCATGTACCCAAAGCAATATTCAAACTCAGGGATTAAGTGTTGAAGCTCTTCCCATTTTAAATGCTCATATCTCCAAATTAGGGCTTGCTCCAGGTCTTTGGTTAAGGTTAATGGAGTTTCAGTCTCTGAGGAGCCTGTTGGCTGGCGCACACATTATTTCCAGTTCACAGCTGGTTACTATGTTTCCCAAAAGGCAGGGCAGCTTCTTCATAGTGACAAGGGCATTCATCATCATTACTATTATTTATTATGACTCTGATTGCTCTTTTTATTTATACAGCATCTTTCATCATAGAGCCTGAAGCACTTTGTAGATCACTTGGACTGAACAAACAAGTACAGCTGAAAATAATTGGAAACTATAACACTTTCGACAGACAAAATAACCTGTAGGTCATAGCATATCATGGAAGGACTCAATGCTGCTCCCATGGACGCATGACATTTCAAAATAAAAACCTTAAAACTCCATATTCTGAGCCCATTTCATAACAGACCTAAGTCTGCTTCATTTAACTTTCACTTGAGTTGCCTCTGTGACTGATATTCCTTTGTCAGGTCATGCCTATGTATAATTAGGTGGGTGTGACTTTTATTGTATTTTAGTCTTTGTTCTTTGAGCTTCTCCTACTGTAGTCAGTCTTCCATGCATAGATCAAATTGTCCTATACACATTCAAATTTCCCTATAAGAAAAATCTCCAATCTTGATGCAGTTTACCTAAGCTTTATTTATGGCTTACATTCCTGATGTTCATAAGATTCCCTCCATGTAGAATGGGCTCCCAAAGTCCATTCCTATGCTAGGGATAAATATTGATCTACTTCCTGAGGTCCCATTGATTGCCTAGGCCTCCTCACAGACATCCACATTAAGGAGATCTGAATCAGTCCCATGCTGGCCTCTCAACCATCAGTCTGGGGTCTTTGTGCTCCCCCTTTTTCAGGTCAGCTGTTTCTGTGGGTTTCACCAGTCCTGTCTTGACCCCTTTGTTCATCACTCCTCCCTCTCTGCAACTGGGTTCCAGGAGTTCAGTTCGGGGTTTAGCTGTGGGTGTCTGCCTCTGCTTCCATGGCCACTGGATGAAGGCTCTAGGATGGCATATAAGGTAGCCATCGATCTCATTATCAGGGAAGGGCATTTAAGGTAGCTTCTCCACTATCGCTTAGATTGCCAGTTGGTGTCATTCTTGCAGATCTCTGGAAATCTCACTAGTGCCAGATCTCTCCTCAAACCTATAATGACTCCCTCTATTCTTCCCCCAACTCAAACCTCCTGCTCCCCCATGTCCTCCTCCCCCTCCTTTTCTCCCCCTCTTTTTCTCCCACATCCCTCTTTCCTCCCCTCATGCTCACAATCTGCTCATGAGATCCTGTCCCATTCCCCTTCTCCAGCGTACCATGCATATCTCTCTTTGGGTACTCCCTGTTTCCCAGACTCTCTAGCAGTGGGATTGTAGTCTAGCAATCCCCTGATCCATGTCTAAAATCTATGTATGAGTGAGTACATACCATGTTTGTCTTTTTGTTATTGGTTTACCTCACTCAGGATGGTTTCTTCTAGTTATATCCATTGGGCATAATTCTTATTAGAAGAAATTTTAAATGATGGAAGTACTCTGTATATACCTGACTAATAAGGAGATATTCTTTGCATAATATTTGTGATTCCAAACATCAATGTAGCACTTAGAACTAGACTGCAGTTTGTGTACTTGTGTGTTTGCTTACATGTGTATGCTCAGGTGTTCATGTACATTCATATGTATGCATGCATACAGAGACTAAAGCACACTCTAAAGTGTTGTTCCTCAGATGCCGCCTATGATGGATAATGTTTGTTGCCAGTTTGACTATATCTATGATCAACTAAAACCCAAGTATCTGGGCAGCCTATGAGGAATTTTCTAAATTGGATCATTTGAGGTCAGAAGATACATATTCTGTTGGCACCCTACATAAATAGACATGGAAGCAGGAAACTTGTTTTTTGTTTTGTTTTGTTTTTTGCCTGCTTTCCTTCACTCTTACTGGCAAGTTCATCTATCCTGTTGCTGAAACATTCCTTCATTGGCATTAGAATCTAATTCTGCTGAAGACCAACTGCTCTCGCAGAATTCTCTGGGACACCAGTACCAGATTGGGACTGCAGAGATAACCTGTCTTGTTCACTGAACAGATCCTGGATTCTTGGCCTTTTGGTTGGGATATTGCCATTCTTGGACTACTTAAACCATAGCCTGCCAGTCATTGTAATAAATACCCTTATAAAACACATATCACAAACATGCATGTGTGTGTGTATATATATAATAAATGTGATATAACATGTATTATATAACTTATATTCATATATAATTTATATTTTTATATAATATATTTAATATATTTATCCTTAGGTAATACAATAATACATATTTTTCACACACACACACACACACACACACATACATTTCTATCAGTTTTGTTCCTTTAGAGAACCTTGACTACTTACTACACCATCCATCTTATGTTTCACTGTTCTGGGACTTACTGAGTGAGCTAGCTGACCAAGGAGCCCCAGGGATCTACTTGCCTTTATTTCTCCAGTTCTGGAATTTCAAGTGCCAGGTGTCATGCTTGGCATTTTTGTTACTAACTCTGATACTTCCAAGGCAAGTGTTTTAATGATAAATGTATTTCTCCAATCCCACATCAAACTTTTAATTTAAAACTTATCATGGATCTCTGTGGAGCTTGCAAACATGTCTAGTAATAGAGCAGTTTCCTTTTGTGGCAATGGTGATGAAGCCTCAGAACATGGCTGGGAGATTTCGATAATAATGGTCAGAGAGACACAGCCAGAAATTTCTAGCAAGAAAAATATAGTGAGTCTTGCCAAGTCAACGATCTCTTAGCAACACAAGTCTGAACAAGGAAACAAACACAAAGATGTATCTGTTATGATGAATTTCAAAAGACACAATTTCCCATCTGTTGGCTGGGACATTGCATTGAATTAGGCTGAGTTGTCCACAAGACTGGACCAATGCAGTGGTTCTGGGACTCATATTTCATCCTAAGGTGGAGTAGAAGAGAATGGGGTGTCATCAAGTCAGGTTAAATCAGAAAGACAAATGGTAGGCACATTAAAGTGGGAATAGAGGAGAAACC